AACAGTGCTGATAACATACCTATGTTTTAGCTGTTGCCAAACAGTGTTTGCACAGCACCAGTGAGGAAACTGGGAATGTGCAATAGGCTGGGATATGAGGCAAATGATCCAAACTAACCAAACAGAAATTCCATGCTCTATAGCATCATGCACAGCAATAAAAGGGAAAAGAGAGGGTTCTGCAAAGTTAGCCATCTTTTGCTCAGGAACTGAGTGGGCAATGGTCTACCTGTGGGAGATAGTGAGTTATTTCCTTTGCATTCTTGTTTTGTTTTCTTTCTCTCTTTCTCTTTTCCTTCGCTTATTAAGCAATTTTTGTTCCAGTCCACAAGCTCTATTAGTTTTACCCTTCCTTTCTTCTTCCCCTGTCCCACTGGATTGAGGGGGTGTGTACTAAGCAAGCAGCTGTGTGGTGCTTAGCTGCCTACTGGGGTTAATCCACAATGGTCTCCTAAAGACATATTCCAGTAATTTAAATTAGTTTACAAGTTATGGACATCAAACTGACTTCTGTGATGCAAAAGAACTTTGGGCTTTTAACATTTTTGGAAATTGTAAGAAGCCCGGTCACAATGACGGGATGTGTCTGGTTTGTATGTAATATGTTAATAATATTCCACATTTGCACTGACCAGTAGGATTCATAGGCATGTGAATGATGCTTTCATGAGGTGCAGAAAGGTGAGACCTTGGAGCTAATGGTTGAGTTGTGTAGCATGGAGATAAAAGGCAAGAATTGCCTTTTCAAAGTGGAATAGAGCTGTTTGAGAAACTGTTAATAAGTTATTAAGTAACTAAAACTTTCAAAACTGTCATGTACTGATCTGTCGAAAATCTGAACTTTGTCTCAATAGATCAGTACACTCTTAAAATGAAGTAGTTTTATCAGGAAAAAAGCAGTTACTTTAGAATTGACTGTTGCAGTCCCACACACCAGTAAATATGTAAGCAAAATAAAGCACCAAAGTAAATTATTTCAAGCAAATAAGTTATCATGAGAACTATTATTGTAATACTTTCAGACTAAGCAGCAAAATTTATGTGTCTATAAACGTGCCAGCTATGTGAGTCCTTAAATAGTCCGGACTTACTCGTTTACTGTGTGTCATTTTATGGTTATTTACTGTAATTAGAAATAATCCTGACGTACTAGCTTTTTCCCCATGGTAAAATCTGATAAGGGCTTTCACTGTTAGTCTGTTTTTGTTACTGTCTACATGTAGGAAAAAAGCCTAAAGATTTGAACTTGCAAACTTGTTGTCACAGCAGGGCTGTCCACAGCGAACTACAGGTTTGCATTCCTACCACATGCAGTAAGGTTTTCTCTATAGACTCCTGTCACCGAAGAATTTAGCAAGGAACAAGAAATCTTCAGTCAGAGAAGGGCCACAAGTGTGTGAAAAGCTAGCCACACATAAACACTAAAGGTCATTAGCAGGCTCCTAAACTCCTAGCTAGGAATTAGTTTTTTAGATCATTAACGGTAAAAAAGCCTAGGAAATGAATAGGACTCAGTGTCCTATTAAAAATTAGCCAGAACAATTAAAAAGTTTTCCAGTTTTTAATGGGAACCAGACCTGATGCCTCATTTTCCTTGTCTAATGGGCTGTTTCTGTGTTTTGAATGACATTAATGTTATGTCCTTGTATGTGCAAAGAAATATCTTGAACTACTTCTTCTGTATAGGAGTTGTAAATTATTTAGAATGAGGGCAGTGAAATCTTGGGAGACATAGAATCTAGTGTCTCCCTAAGACTGTGTTACTGAATCCAGGTCTTGTGGCTCTAAACGATTACAGTTAATTGTGATACGATGGCTTCTGGTGTGTGCAAATGTATATTTTCAAACTTCTAATACAGTTGCTGTATTATGCAATTCCATAAGTTAAAATGCTCATTTGTCTCCAAATGCACAGCCTTTTTTGCTGTGAGGTGACTCTCCTTATGGTGTTACATGTTTCCCTAAACTCAGTTTTCTGATTTCCACAGCAGCCTTTCTGCATTCATTTCAATGTAAATTCCTTGCTGCTGAGTGGATGACTGATAGTTATTTAAGAGCTATCTTCTCCTCCACTGTATATTTTTCCTTAAGCCTGTAGTCATCTCTTGACTTTGGCACCAGAAAATAATGAACAGTGAACCTTTAGTATTTTAAAATGTAAATTTTGGAGAGGTTTATTAAATACTTTCTTTCCTTATCTTTGCATCTTAGTATCCATGTCTTAGAAAAAATTCCAGAGGGAGAAAGAGAGAGAAAGAAAGAAAGAGAGAGAGAAAAAAAGAGAGAAAGAAAGAGAGAGAGAAAGAAAGAAAGAAAAAGAAAGCAAGCAAGCAAGCAAAAAAAAAAAGTAATGTTTTACACTGTCTGATTTGCCCGCAGGCCTACCACTCTGGAGGAAAAGCCCGCAAGTTCCCAAACTTTTTCACTCTATAGCTGTTATACTCATTTACCTCCCCATATGCCTCCAAATCATCCCACTTAACTCTCTGGTAATAATCAAGGTAATCTATGAATACAAACCATATGATTTTCCTGAAAGGAAAAAAAAGAAAAAAATAAATTTGGATGGGAAAAAGTGGATTGCAGATAAATGGGGTGGGGATGGGGAGAATAAAAGGATAGGAGAAAGGCAGGACAAGATGATCTTCCTCACAATGTTAATTATGTACTTGGTCATTCATTTACTCCAGATGCAGAATTCCTTTCTGCAGTAAGTGAATTGCCCTGTCATTAACATAAAATTAGCACCAAATGGTCTTGGCCAAGAGCTTTGAAATATGTTAGTATAGAACCACACACTCAAAAACATGTGGGAATCCATGTGGGCTTCCAGATGTGAGAATCTTCTGTGTTACAAATATGGTCATGTTTATGTAGCGTAATAATCTGCTCAGTGGATATACCGTAGATGCAGCTGTGCTTCAGTAGTGGTCTGTTATGTGGCACTCTGCCTTAGTGAATGCGTCTTGTTTCTTACAGCAAGTCCATTCTGGTAACGGCTACTTGTAAACAAACATTGGCATGCGAGTTAAAATATTCTTTCATGAAATGTGAGGAATTCAGCATGAGCTAGTAGATTGAATTGAGAGTGGAAGTTTGAAAAATTTCATGTCTTCATTTTTGATTCTACTTAGTATTTTGCTGCTAATTGTTTTTCCCTGTCTGATTCTGTGTTCACCTAACTAATGATCTCTACCCACAGAGATAGTCTGTTGATGCTCCTTTTTTTCCTTTTTTTTTTTTTCATGTTTAAAAGCCCTTATTATCTCAATTTCTTTAATGCAGTTGTCTTCTGTTGTATGTGGTGTAAGAAGGGGACTTGTAGTAACTTCAGGAAAGAAATTAATCTGTGCAGAAAGACTAGTGTGTTCGAAAAATATGTAACACTGAGTTTAAGCACATCAGTTAGTGCCTGAACTGTACAGTATTCTGTCTGTAGCAGTGACTGTTAGCTATTCTTAATGTTCGAATATGTAAGTACAGAATGGTCACTGACGGTAACCTGAAATGTTCCCTTTGTAGTCCCACTTAGTAATTTTTAATAGCCCCAATTTTGTCAAAGAAATTCTATTCCTTTCTGATTGAAAATTGTCTTGTTTATCAACACGAATATTCATTGAAAATTGTCTTATTTATCAACATGAATATTCAGTTTCAGGTGTAATCCATACACCTTGTGCTACTTGGTCTGTCATCTCCTCGTGTCATATACATCAAACAGGATCATGTCACTCCTGTAGTTGGGTTAGAGACCTTCAGGGGAAAAAAAATTAACTCTGCATCTGATACTGATCTCTCCTCTGAAATGACCGTAGGTCCATCCTCTAGCACAATGGAAAGTAAATTCTCTGTAATAGTGATTACACAATGAATAAAATTGTTGTTTGACATAAATCATTGTAGCCTAAGAGTTCACTAGACTGTCAGCTGATCCTTTTTCTCTTGGAGGTTGGGTAAAACTGAGGCTTTTATTGTAGAAAGCATCTTTTTCCATTAAATTTTGCATATTGTTTCCAACATCTTAATATGTATTAATAAATCTTCTATATCTCCCATTTCATGGGCAAGTGCATTATGTGTATCTAAAATAGGTCTTGCACTTACTATTATTGTCTTTAAAGTGTTGAGAGTATTGTGCTCCTCTGTTTTCAGGAGCATTAAGGATTGTAACTGCTGGAAGTAAATTCCCATTGCAAACCTCTGAGCAAAATATCCTTTGCTATTCATCACCATAACCAGCTAATATCAGTCGTTATCTTTAATAACAAATTTTAAGAAATGTCCGGGAATGGAGACCTGTATGATAAAAAATTATAGGAGTGTGACGCTCTCTGAATAAGAAATTCACCAAAAAGATACATCTGTGAGCTATGCAAGCAGTGACAGCTGGGAGGAAGCACTAAAACTGTCCTACCGAAGACAGAAGAATAATTTCTTCTGTCTCATGCCATGGGTCATGCTTGACATGGTTGAGAGAGACTATGTGGCATTTCTACAGTGAGAGGCTGGGAATACTTCAGTCAGTATGTGACAGTCTTTGTGGGTTGGTGCTGTCCAAAACCGTTTCTGACCCCAGTTGCATTGTCCCAACAGTCTTTTAGCAATGTGCTATTTTTCTTTCAATAACTAAAATCCTAATCTGTGTGTGTCTATGTATACACAACAAACCAAGATACATGAAAAAGTACATGCTCTGGTAATTAAAAAGCGGTCAGATCTAGTGCAGGACTGTGCAAAGGCAAAGGCCTCGGTACCTTGCAGACATCAGACTTCTGTCCTAACTTTCAGCACAGAATCTATCTAGAACCTAGTGAGGATGTTACGTATATGATGTAATTATGTAAATGTATATTTAAATTAAGTTTGAATTGAAAAAAACATTTATATTGGTTTAAGAGTTCTGCCAGTGCTTTTGTATCTCTCAAACTGTTTTATGGCGCTGCTTTTAATTAATTATATTTTGACAGAAGAAATTCTCTCCTTTTTTTTTTTTTTTTCAGACCGAAGAACAAATGAGCCTCTCTGAAGAGCAGCTTAAGACCCTTCTGGAAGAATGTGTGCAGCCTCAGAGAACAATAAGTTACGTTACCATGCCAAAGTCTCAGGAATCTCTTTCTTTTGGATTAAGTCCCCCTTGTTACACAAGTCAAGACTCCACTCTTCACTCCACATCTACTCTTTCCAAAATGTTAGTTGAAGACCATATTGTAGAGATGTTAATGGCTCAGGAAAAGGCTGGACTCGAAGACAAAAGCTTGTGTGCAGAGAGTGAAATCCCTGGCTACTATATCGGCAAAGCATTGGCTGGTAGTCACTTATCAAAGGATTCACTGGCCCAAACAGAGGAACCTGATGACCTAGAAGGTTTACAGAAGATGGGAGATAAGAGTATTACTGAAGGTTACTTTATGTCAAGAGCACTCAACACAAAAAGATTGAAGAAACCTTCTTTCCTGGATGAACCATTATATTGCATCAGCATGAACAATGAGCCATGCACAGAGGCTGACATTCCCAGCATACCACTGCAAACCAAAGGAGGTGAGACTCTTAACAACCCTTTAGAATAGGCTTTTGATTATAAAGAAAAAAACCTAAGCAGGTTCTCACCAAAGGTATGCATCAATACACACTGATTATTATAGTGGGCCAAGGATGTTCTTTTATAAAACTGTGCCAAAAATAATACACACAAAGTAACAGAATGTTTATTAAAATTCTTGCTGTGACATAATTGACTAGGAGTTTTATGAAATACTTCACTGATGTTGATTAATTCTGTCAACTGGAAAACAGTGTTGACAACACATATGGATTATCTTTTTGGTAGTAGGAAGTCATGTTCACTGTTCTGTGGAGAGTATTCTCCCAGTAGTTGGTACAGTAATTCACTCAAAAATTCAAGTGTGTTATGCAAGCTTTTAATAAAGTATACTCAGTAGTATAGACACAAATATGATTTAGCTGTGTAAAAAATACTAAACTGCTTCCAGAGAGTTCAAATTTACACATAGAAGATACCAAAATTAATAAATACTACACAATTTCTATAAATGACTTTTAGTTTGGTAAAAGAAAGGAAGAAAGAATAGGCTTTAACCAGCAAACAATGAAAACCTCTACTTGGTATTATAAAAGGATTGTGGAAATTCCTCTGGTTTTAATGTTCTTTATTTATGTGCAATTATACAGTGATATTGTAATCTAAATTTACATTTAGATTTTTAGCCTAAGACTACTTCTCTTCCTGTAAAGCCAGCTGTTCAAATAAGCCAGATTTTAGGCAGGTAAATCTTTCACTTCTTTCATAAAAGTTGTGACAGTATGAAGTTTGTGATTACAGTGCTACGGTTTAATTTTATTAGAAATCAATACATTCTGCTTTGTTTGTCAAGATTGGTCTTTATTATACTAGTAATCTATTCTGAATTTAGAGAAACTTTTTTTTTTTCACATACCTTGGTGATTTAGAAGAACATCCTAATATTGCTTTCCTATGTTATAATTTCTTAATTACGATCACATCTGTTTCATTGGTTGTTTATACTCAACCTTTCTACAGTGAAAAGAATGTTATTATTTTTTCAGAGGGATTCCACTTGTTGGGAAGCAGGAAGTCTTGTTATTGCTGCTTTTACACTGCCAAACAACTTGATGTCCAGACTCACTTGCCGTATTTGCCCCCTATGAGATTTATGTCATAGCTGCTGCAACATGAAGAAAATAGTACCTGTAGAAAAGGTTGGGTGATTTGGGGTTTTTTTTGGTAGGTTAGTTTTCAGCTACTTTCACATGCCAGCTGTGCTCTTCATGTAGATGCAAGCATCAGAAGAGCAGAGCAAGGGAAGAAGGAAGCCGTCTGCCCCAGAGGAGAGCGGAGTGGCAGTGGTGCTCATGGGGAACACCACAGAGGGCCGGCCACCTCCGCCAGCAGCAATTGATCTCCTGTAGGAGTGACATGATTACATACTGTGCCACCAGTCTTCCTTGGCAACCAGTAGTGAGAAAAACTCAGTAACTTGCTGCCTTCACAGCTTTAGTTCTTCAGTTAGAACTTTAGTTAGAACTTTAGGTCTTTTTGTCCGAACAGATGTAGTACAGTTAGAGCCAAGTGTGACTCAGCCACAATTACCACCTCACATAATGAATGTGTTTTAAGATGGGATGTGGTAAATCAAGGCAGAACACCATGCAGTGTGACCACTAGGTAGTGAAGTGAGCAGGTAACAGTATGCATAGTCACTATGAGGTAATTGTATTGCACAAGAGAGGAAGATTTTCACTATTAAGTAAATTTCCATATAGGACATCTCATGGTAGAAGTCTATAAGGTGAATTTTTTATCACATAATAATTCAATTATATTTGAGTAAAAATCATGTGTGCCAGAGTAATGCAAGGGGTATTTTGATTATCTTTTTTCAGTAGTGGCTGAGTAATGTTCAACCATGTAGCACTCAATTCTGTATGCTTAATAAACAACTTGGTTTATTGTTTTGCTTACCAATTTTTTTTTGAGGGGGGAAGTATTCTGAATTTTCAGTCTCTGATTTATTTTACTTTTTTGCCAGAAAAATAAAAACAAAACCAAGGAGATAATTCCAGATATTTTAATTTCATCAGGCTTTGAACTTTTGTATCAGTGTCTAATTTTTTAAAGTGGTGCGAACAGGTAACTTTTAGGCACAATAAAAGTAAGTGCAAAAGAAACACAAACCCTTCAGAGGTTTGTAACTGCTAAATATTTTACAGATATAGATGTTTAAGTGTAAATTAATTATATTCAGATGTATTGTATTCTGTTAGTATTACTGTTATGATTAAACAAACATCCAAAATTAGCATTTTAATAGGCAGCAGTCCATTCTTATTATTTTTGTTACTGTGCTGTTTACGAGTAAATGTATAGCATAAAACAGAAAACCCTGATACCTTTCCGTGGAATTAATTTGTTTCCCACAAAGGTGATTCAGTTCTGTCTGAAGCAATTATTCCTGGCCATAAGCAAAAGGGTGTGATGTTTATCAAACTGTAAAGTTGCTTAAGGTATTCTGTAGATAATCTGGTTGTTAGTTCAGACATGATTAGATATGCTAATTATATTGAAGAATGGAGATCCCAGTGGAATCCAATTTAAGATAAATACATCTGCAAATGAAGGTGTGAGAAGTGTCAGTTGTTATTTTTAAGAGATATTTACATAGTTGAGCTTTGTTATGGTCTTAATTCTAAAGGTCATTTAAACATGTATGTGTAATCTTTTGTAAGTAGTTTGATTTTCTTACCAACTTACACGTGGTTTAAATTCTCTTTAGTGCTGGATAAGCAAAAAAACCTGTGTTTGTGTGAAGCTGGTTTAGCACAATTTTGGTTTTGCAGTCCTTATGGTACTGTAGTCTGTGATAATGATTTACTGTAATACATTAAATGATATATATTTTAAGGAAAACATAATTATGAACATAAGTCTCATGTGCCTTCAGAGATAAGTAATTCCTGTTTCTTGAAAGAATCAGTAATCTACATCCGGCTCCCATGCATGTAAACATAGATGATGTTTACTGAGGGAAACAGAATCCAGGCTTACCCATATACAGATATAAAAAGGCTGTTATTTCTCAGTTGTATGAGCTAATTAGTAATTATTTCCAGCTCTGTTTTGGGGGGCTATATTAAGTTTTAAGTAGAAGTTGTATCACAAACTGTTGTTACTTTTTCGTATTGCAAATAATGTTGTACTTACAGCAGTTCAGCATATCTTTCTTTTGTTGGTGTTTTTGTTTTTTTTTTTCCCCCAGGTGATATGAACACTGAAAATTGAGGGGAGAGTGACTGTATGCTTCTTTGCACAACTATTTTTCTGCGAGTGTGGTTAAACCTCCATCAGTGATATTATTCTGATTCAGTGTAATTTCAAGGAACCTGAAGGGTATGAATTATCATCATTGCAAATGTTCCATGAGTTGACTTATTCTTAAAAGAGATAATTATTATTATCATTATTATACAGTGTTGAAGTTTGATTTCAAAATAAACTCTTGCATTTCATTAAATACCTAAGAAATAAATGTACGCACACAATTTTGTAGCTGTGCGTCTGATAGATATGCATGTCTTTGTTTGTGAAAAATGTAAAATAAAACTTGGAAAGTTCAGTATCTACTGATGGGGCTTTATTAGAGCAGATGTGAAATGTATGTAATAATTTTATTTTTCTTCACACACAGAGTCTAGATTTTTCATAAATTTAGCTAAAACCTGGCCTCTCATTACCCCACTGCAGTTTGCTGGAGCTTGCAGCCTGTCTGAACCAGAGCCCTGATGTGAAGGATCCAGCTATGTACTCAGATTTTTGCCCTGGGGCTGTCTGTTGGCTGGACAGCTGGTTTGGTTGAAGGTTTGACTTGCACAAGTCCTCTGCTGAATTAGAACATCAGCACTTGTCTGCTCAGGTCTGCTTGAATCTTGCCTGCAAAGAGTGTGACCACAGAGCAAATGGTGGTATCCTCTAGTTAAGAAATGTAACTAAAGGAGGAGAAATCGCAGTCCCTGGTGAGGGCTTGGTGTGAGTGAAAATGAAGGAGTTCAGAAGTTTGCCCCAGCAGTTGATTGTGAACCATTATAGTAATGGCTACCTGAGGAGAGGGTAACACAGCTGGCTTGTGTTTGGGACAATAGTAACAATTCATTACAGGTTTTTGATTGTCTAGTCTTTAAATACTGTTTTTCCTGATTTTCTCCTTACTGACTCAGCTGATGGTCAGTTTTTCATTTCATGCACTGCAGTGTCGAAAAAAAGAAGACAGTATTAAAAAACGTGGTTCTTTTTAAAAAGTTCTTTTGTTAAGGTGGAGAGATATTCTAGCAAAAAGGATTCAGTAGATTTTTTCCATTGACAAACTATCATGTGATTTGACCTAAAAGGACAATGTATTTCTCAGATCCTATACTAGCCATTTAACAGTCACCAAGAAAAGATGTATAGATACAACTCTACAACGACTGTTACCACATAGGGCTTACTTGATCTAATCTGAATATTTAAATTAATGCACATATTGGCCCAGATTTTAATCGAATTTACAGAGTTGCCATTAGGAGTGGATTCACTCCTGGGGAAGTGGTAATTGTGTGGATATAACAGAGATCAGAATCTAACCTACTTGCTTTTCTTTAAAATCAGAATGGGACACTGTATTTGTCACAGGCAAGTGCTATTTCTTCCTTTATTTTCTGATATTTTTACTTACTCCGCAACAGCAATAACAAACCTGTGGATACTGAGTGTTCTGCATAGAATTCCTGTAAGCACGTTTCATGGAGCTTTGTAAATCTCACCTAGATGTATTTCTCATCTTCCTTAAAGATATTAAGCCTGTGCCATAATTTCAGTAGCGTAAATACAATCAAAGGAATACCAACAAGTTTTTTCAAGCCTGTCTTCTGTGACTATATGATATTCATGCATTGCTGTCCACTGACTATAATCTTTCCACAATCCAGTTATTTTCACAATGAACTTGTGTTTTATAGAGATCTTCTCAAAAACAAGTGTTCCAAGTGCTTGGGTAGTTTTTTAAGAAAATCAGGTTTTGTTTAGAGATTATATATAGTAAATAATTTTTTAATTTTCTTGGTTTTATGTTATCTTAACTCTCTTGATGTTATGAAAAGGCCTTTCCTCAAGGAAGGGTCGCTGTTGCTGACTAAGCCTTACAAGATCCCCGAGGCCATGAATGCACTCTTTATTTACGTCTGCCATTTCAGGGATAAGGAGGTAAGTTTGAATGACTATTGACTTGAAGTGTATATTCCAGCAGGAGCTCTGTGACTTAACTTTTAGTCTTGGGAAATGCTGAGCACCCTGCACCAGTTGTAGTCACTGCAAACTGCAGGGACATAGCACTCATGGCCTGGTATTCCAAAGGTGCATTGGGTCAGTACCCAAACAGAGACTGTCATAAACCAGTGACCTAGTATTTATCGGTGCTCGCTTTCTACTGCATTATATTAAATAACAGGTTCTTTGGGAATATTTTCTTTCTTAGTTCATATTACAGGTGAATTATCAATTCCAGCCCTTATTTCTTCTTTTATTTTCACTTTTAAGTAAAACTTTAGGAAATGAAATTATTTGGTAAAATATGGTTACTGGTAAGATGTACACAAAACCAGAGATATTATATAAAATATGATGACAAGGTCATTTGCTGAAACATCACTAATACCAGAGTAAAAGGAAAGTTGAGCCCAGGAGGATTCATGAGTTTTTCTTTGTTTTTCCAGTTACTCTGTGTTGTGACCTGCAATAACCCCTCTGTCGGGGCTCGCCACTTGAATTCCAGCTGCACTGGAATGTGGCAGCTTCTCCTCAGGGAGTGATGCTGCAGTGATGATTAAGATATTTAAATGAATTTTCTTTTGCAGCCTAACTTGGGATTTGGAAACAGATTTTCTGAAATACATACCTTCATTTGCCGTAAGTTGTATTTGGCAAAAAATTCTGATAACTAGCTTTTTAACTGTCTTTCCTAGCTCCTTCCATCCCAAAACACAGCAGAGCACAGGAGACTGATTTTTAAAATTATCCTTCTGACATTTGGGCTTTGAGATGTTTGAGGAATAAGAAATTTTGTGTGTTCATGTAGGTTTGTGCTGTTTACTCTCCTTATTTCATACTATGATTTTACAGGACAAGATAGATGCTTTTGTTCCAAAAATTTAATGCTGGTGAAATCAACATACCTGTGAAGAGGTTTTGGTGTGCTTGTGTCAAATTCTGAGCAATATATGACCAAACCTGTTCTGCCTTTGTCACTGAGACCCTTCAGTAATATACATACAGTGCTGCTGTCTGTAGTGGCCAGTGCTCAGCTGTTGATACTGATTTCCACAAGTGGTTATGTTTCAGTGTTGCACCGTTTGCCGTTTTAAACTACAAAACCTCCATTGTTTTCCTCTGAAAGTGGAAAATAAGGGTAATTCAGTCATTTTTGTGAGCCACATGTGTGTATATATATGTATACATAAATTGTATGTATAAATTGAAGATGTAATTTACAAAATACACTATAATTTTGAGTAGGATATTTTCAAGAACTACAGTATTGATTTCAGTGTACTGTACTGGTATGAGAAGTTCAGTCCATCCTTACAGTTATGCAGATTTAGAGTGGTTTGAGGGATTTTTATTTCAAAGAACAGTGAACAAACTAAATATCCTGATTAAAAAAAAAAAAAGGGGGTTTGCATCTACACAATAAAATGAATGAAATTATTCTTACATGCTCAGAATTCAAGTTTAAATTAAAGGAGATCTACCAAGGGTTAAAAAACTTTCAGTTTCATCTTCAAAAGAAAAAAAAAGAAAAAAAAAAGAAGAAAGTGCCCCACAAAAATTCTCAGCCTCATGCCTTTTTCCAAGCCAGACATTGGCTGGTATCTACTTTGTGGATCTGTAGTGCATGCTTTCCCTCTCACTTCCCGAGCAGAACTCCTGCAGAGCCAGTGGGCATGCTGAGCGCAGAGTGAAAACAGGCTGTGCAAAAATTATCTGCTGCATAGATCAGAGGAAAGGGCTGCTTAAACATGTCATCAGAGTAACAAGGACTCTAGAAATACAAAAAAGTATGCCAGTAAATTCATGTGCTGGAAAGGGTGCATTTTTACCTCCAGATCTGGGATGGTTAGGTGAGAGGCAGTTGTTTCTAGCTCAATTTCTGTAATTTCAATAATTATAAGAACTTTTATATTTTATTAAAACCCCTTATTTGCTAGATAAAATTTCAGAAAATGAAATTAGAATGCACCTTTTCGTTATGCTTGTTAAAAGGGCTTTCTAAGCACAGCTTTGAATAATACCTCTCTCTCTTGCTTTTTATATGCAAAATCTGCCACAGTTGACACTTCCAAGAGCTGACATTTCCTCCCCCACTGATGAATAGAGAGCCTCACCTCTGGTAATCTCATGCAGTTTGAAGGCTAGACACAGAAGACAAGGTAGCTTGGCAGATTCTCAGAAAGCTGATAAATTAGGAGGGTTTATGAAATCTGGGGGAATATAACTGATTTTTTTCTTTAATTTTCAACAGATGCATTTATTAAGAAATAATTGCTCCTTTTTTTGTAGAGACATTTAAAAGTCAGAAAAATTGTTTCATTTTTAGATAGAATAGAGGCACTTGAATACTACTGATGCTGTAACCTACATTTTTCCAATTATATGTTTCGTTGAGGGATTGGCTGGAATCCAGTTGCAGTAGTTAGAATAAAAGACTCCCTGTCATTTAAGTCTATGTGAAATAGTTCACTGCTTGCAATTGAATCTGCGGTATCTTATCTGTTAAGCTTAAAAAGCCCCCAGTAAACTGGAATACTTTCTAACTTCTAAAGTCCATGAATAATTTTGCTTTGTAGGCAAGTAGGCATTTAGAACTTTTGAAAATACTGATCTGTGCCATTGTTTTCTTACTGTTTGCTTTGTGTATTTGGTGTGCATAGTTTTGGTGGGAAGAGTATTGCCAGAGGCATTTTACCCTAATTTTCCAATAACACTGAAATGGTCTCTCCATATGCATTTTGTGAGCAGAGTCGTCAAGGCAGACTGACGCAGTATTAAAGCAGCACTCGATTTAGCCCTTGTAGATGTTGCCTAGGCTAGCAGTTCTTGACTTTGAAAGCAGTTGAAAAATAATAGACAAATGATGTCTGGGCTTCCTGGGATTTGTTTAAATTTGAAAATCCAAGTTTCTCTATGATACTTGTCTAATTTTATGGATTTCCTGTGGAAGATTTTATCTTCAAGATTTCTGCTTGCCAAACACTTTTCTCTAATGAGTTCTCATCCTCCTTTTATAACTCTGCTTGAATGTTTATATAACTTTGTGCATTTGTTTTTTCTGTCTTGGAAAAGATGAGAAATAAGAAGTAGAACTCACTTTGTGGAATCTTTAAGATGCTCACTTATGTAATCTCAGCAATCCTTTCCAAAATGAATTTATGTTGAAAATCTACCAATTACCATACTATGGACTTCACTGCAAAAATCATGCCAATATCAATGAAAATCGCAGTATTGTCATTAAGATGCAGATTTGCTATGGTTGTCTCAGTCTTTGTAGCTTATAAATATCTGCAGGTTGAACTGCTACACCTG